AGTTTTGGATTTTGTTTTCCCTTAATAATAAAAACCTTCATTTAAAAACTGCATGTTGTGTTCAGTTCTGTTATCTTTTACTAATATTTAAATTTGTTTGATGATCTGAAACATTAAAGTGTGACAAACATGAAAAAAAAAAAAGAAATCAGGAAGGGGGCCAAAACTTTTTCACACCCCTGTATATATATATATATATGTATATAAAGGGATCATTTATATAGACTACTGGGACAGTTTTAAAATTTTATGTCATTTTTATGTTCAATTGGTAACTGTTGAAATTACCAGGTTTAAAACATTTACACATTTGTTGTACAGAAATTCTTTCCCCGAGAGTCTTATTTCAGTGTCACAGGAAGCGATGTAGTGTATAAGTGTTTATATCCTGTGTAATGTCTGTCAAACACCTTTACCTTGGTCTTGTTACGCTAAAAAAGTTCTTAATATCCTCCAGACTGCTCTGATGCTGGTTTAGGCCTACAGGTGTTTGTAATACTGCATGTACACATTTAGACATGTTGGATTAAATGAGAGGAAAACATGTTTATAATAATAATGATGATAAGACCGCAGCAACACCAATGTGGATTTGACCACCACCAAATATAGATCTATTCTTACTGGAATCAAGAGCAGATCAGGATCAGAGCGTGTTAGAAGCAGAGAGGAACCGCATCTACAGGTTCACACAGATGCATCTAAGCATCCACAGAAGGGCAGCATATATCATCACGCTTGAGAATAACAGATCATGCTTCTGTGTTTACAGCAGACTTCATAGCTATTCTGATAGCAATCAATACAATAAATCAAATGCTGAGCAGATCTGTAATGTGCTCAGATTCAAGCTCAGCTTTGTTAAGCCTAGAAGCTGAAAAGTCAGAAAGTTTTGGAGATACTACAGATATTGTTCATGATACAGCAGACACATAACTAGCTCCGGCACATACTGGAGTATCAGGACGAAGCAGCAGACACGTTATGCAAAGGAAAGTATAGATATGGAAATAATGTAGCAAAGCAGAACTCTAATCAATAATAAAAAGGGAGATAAATAAAAACTGGCGATCTTATTGGAATAATGAGCAAAAGGGAAGGCATCTACACTTAATACAACCAAAGGTAGGAAGAGAGAGAAGAGAAGGAAAGAAGACTGTTATTTCCAGATTATAATATAATAGAGAATACAGGATTGTGTGATTGATTGGTCTTAAAGAAACAGTGGAACATGGACTCATTACGTGTAATAGATATTCAGAGGAAAGAAGTCATCTAATAGAAGAATCTAAGAAGAAAGTGTTCAACAATTCACATTAAACAAGCTTTAAATCAGTAGAAGGGGACACTTTATTAATACCATTTTAAATAGAACTCATTTAATGAATAGAATATGGATAGGCTATTGTTATTATTGTTGTTATTAGTAATAGTAGTAGTATTGTAGTTATTTCTGGTCTCCAATAAGCTCAACGAAGAAGAAGCAGAAGAAGAAGAGTGTGGGTTTTGTAGCAGTAGTTTTGACTCCAGTCTGCAGGCGGCGCTCTCTCGCTGAGATCCCGCGCGACGCATTATCTCGCGAGATCACAAGACAACTTCCTCTTTGCGTTCTCTGCCGCCATGGTAGGTGCTCAGCTCCCTGACTGTGATTAAAACATGATCCTTCTCAATCCTTTCTGAAGGAGCCTCATAACTTGTTGATGTGCTTTCCTGTCGGTTTAAGTGTGACCGTCGGTCTGTACTGTGCAGATGTTTTCCGGGACAGTGCTGTTGGCTGTGGTGTTTCTCTGAAGTCTGTAAACTACAGCGACTTTAACGTGTTTCCTCCACAGCCCACCAAACAGTCCAAGACCAGGAAGCTGCGCGGACACGTCAGCCACGGTCACGGGCGCATCGGTCAGTAAACATGCTGGACTGTGTTTGATGCTTTGAGCGTGTTTGACGCTGGAGCGTGTTTGACACTGGAGTGTGTTTGATGCTTTGAGCGTGTTTGAGCTGGAGTGTGTTTGACGCTTTGTGCGTGTTTGAGCTGGAGTGTGTTTGATGCTTTGAGCGTGTTTGAG